AATTAAGTTTAAGAATGTCTTAATTAACTTTTTACCGGTATTCCTTAATCTACCAATTTGGGTTGTCACTCTAGTTGTGAGCTTATCAGTAAAACGATAAGGTTGAGACCATTCGATCTCATGCCCAGTCTCTGCAATGTGTTACGCTAACTCTGATTTTCGACTGTCAATAACTCCTACAGGCCCTTTTGTGTTGAATGAAACGATGGGTCTTTCCAGCATGAAAGAGAGCACATGAACACATTATTTCATATTTCGTTTAGAAATAGACGTTGGAAACTACCAGTAGATCATATATATGAAATCTGTTCATCCTATTTCCTTGAGGTGATGAAGGACTGGTTGTTGAATTTTCTAATAATGTTATGAGTATAGCTTAATTTTTCATTGAATTTCGCTTGGTTTTGCAAATCCAAAAGGTACATTTCATACATTATTTTCTAGCCATCTGATCTGGATACTTGGTCGAATTTCTCTCTATGAGTGGGCAGAAATGAAGAAAGTGCCATAGTTTCCTTAAAATGGTTTTATTCCCCACTTATTTTTAGAGAGAAAGTACTAACAAGGCTTAGCACGTTTTTAACGGAATCGAAGGCCACTGCTTCAGGGACATCACTAGCACGAAGGTTCCAATGAAGCTAGCTAATGGCGCAACAAAAGGAATCCGCCATCGGCTTCTGTTGGAATCAAGTTTCATACCTTTCGCCGTATTCTTTCACTCGAAACGGAAATGAGCTTAACATTCGCAAACCAAGAGATTCCTCGAAATCCTATATTTTCTTTGCATAGTTGGGGAGCCTTTCATTTCATATGAAAGTGCATAATGAAAAGATTCGAAATTTGATCTCTTCAGAAGACGACGTCTGATTCTCTTTGTACTGCAGCCGTTTGACTTTAATACGACATTCAGGTTAACGCAGTCCACGAGGTATTCTCCCTCGCTCCGGATGAAAACAGGTTGAGCTTTTTTCCACCATATGATGGAAACCACCAGAGCAGGAACTCTTTCGTTTTAATACTAGGTAAAAAAGACTGTCAGGCACTATCTTATCTGAAAAACGTAAATGTAAAGGCATATAAAAATATAGAATTGTTTGGCTAATTATCTTTCATATTGGTTATGTCACTTTTACTCGAGGGTGTGTGTGTGTGTGCGTGAAAATCTATGCGTAATACCGGTCTTAAATAATTGTGATCTAAAAGGCCTAATGTAATTTTAATTCCAGTACTTTAACATAGACTGTAACTACCATGGCCTTGTATTCGATTTAAGTTGGTTTCTTTTGGTTTGATTATTCCCTGGCTAAGTGTAGAGTTTGGCTTAGTATCCTTTTTAAATATTTATTTTCATGCATCCTTCATGTTTTTGCGTATAGTCATGGAACTTATAATAAATGAAAGGTTTCTATTTAGCCAATGATAGGTCCTAATAGCACTATGCAGCATGTTAGTCTTATTTTCTAACTTTAAATATTTTCGAATTAAGTCTTTTATTTGGTGTTCAAATAATTAGTAGGGATTACGCAATCTCGATCCTGCTTTCCTTAGGTTATTAAGCCTTGTTGACTCAGGACTGACTTTAGGCTAAATTGTGCCTACCTTAAGTAATGTTCAGTGACGTGTACTATTACTTATTTGCGCAGAGATGCTGACACTCAAATATACGCAACCTGATTAATATGAGAGAGAGAGAGCTAACCAAATTCTTTTGTAGCTTTCTATATCTTTGTACCGTATTTTCCGGCGTATAAAACGACTTTTTACACCATAAATTTCTGCTCCTAAGTTGGGGGTCGCCTTATACGCCGAGTGTAGTTTATGGATCGCTAATTAGAATATGGTCCCGAGCTCCTGTTGTGCCCCTTACCTCCTTACAAAATCTATATTTTAATATGAAAAGTCAGAGGGTCGTCTTATTCGCCGGAAAATACGGTATATTTTTGTATTTAGTTGAGTATTTATGGGGTTTAAGAAAGAACCGGATAGTTTTATTTACCAAACACTTTCACTCGAAATAGAAATAAGCTTGGGAAACAATGAATTTCAGCTCTGACGTTGTCCATCCACTGGAACTATGAACGACAGGCCAGCCTGTCTTCACCTTAAACGAGGTAGGATGCCTCGTGGACTACGTCAACCTGAACGTCGTGTTAAAGCTAAATGGCTGCCGAAAAGTAGGAATCAGCAGTCATCTTCTGGTGAGATCGACCTACACATCTCTTCTTCATGCCCATTCTTAGGAAATAAAAGTCTTCGCAAAAATGTTAGCATAGGGGAGGCATCGAAATCCAGTTACTCTTCGTATTTAAACGTAGTTAATGGTAGTCAAATTGTCTTAATGCCTAGAGTGGTCACGATGAGCTTGCTGGGACTTCATACCAATAAACGATCATCATTTCTTCCCAATACTCACAACAGCCAGCAGAAAGAGTAGAGTTTTTGGTAGACGTCAATCCTAGCCCTCAAGAGCCTGAGACTATAGGGTCTTGCAAATAAGTTGTCTGCTTTTAAATGCAAATGAACACAGCTTCAATTTAGTGAAGGAGAGGTTTATCTTGATTCGTCGAAATTGAGGATGTTGAATTTCAGCAGTCTTGGCGGAAGCAAAGGAAAAGCGAATCGAATCTCCTGCCTACCCTTGCTACACATTGTACATTGGTCTCAATTTGCTACTTGATTTGCTCACATACCAATCATACTTTTTCCATATTTTTTCGTGTCAGATGACTTCCAGAGCCTAGCTCCCCTGCCTCCAGTAACCGGACAGTTTTTGCTTAACCTCGAGACCAATGCTCTTGACAGTAGATTTTTCCAGCCCATTCGCCAAACCGAGCTGGCAAGTGATGACTTCTGCCCTTCTGGCCTACCTCTTGACAAGACGAGTGAGGAACCTGTACAAACGTCTTCAGCATGCTTGGCTGGGGGGCTGGCTGGAGTGTCAAGGCCACTCGCTTCCTCAAGTCTTGTCGGTAAGGCCAGCATCCCGGGGCATGAGGCGACCAGTTCAGAGGCGTCAAGTGTATTCGCTTCGAGGCAGGCAGATCTGTGGAAGCGAATATGCTTCCCAAAGTCCAGCTATGTGTAGTCGGTGGGTGGATGCCGTTTAGTGAAGGCTTCCAGCAAAGAATCTTTTCTGCGTCGACAGATATCGTTTGAAACAACAGCTATTTGAGGCTTGAACTTGTAAATACACAGAGTTAAAAGCTCTTTCAAAAAGTGCAAATCTTGTCACATTTCTCCGTTTGTTTATGCTCTGTAACTTTTTCTATAGAGACCATGTACAAAACTAACTCTATTGAATGAAAATTCGATCGAAAGAGATAGGAGACCTTCTCAATTTTTATGGCGACTCTTTCAGTTTTCACATTTCTCTTCCCAGGATTCCCAAAATTCACCAATTAATATCATTTGTTTTCTAATGCGTCTTCTGAAAACAATCATATTTTTGCTCATTACCAGCTCATATTTTCGCTTGGATGGTAGTAATCTTAATACGCTAAAGAAGGTTCGAGTTTTGTTAACTTATCAGAAAATAGGCTATGGCGTAAATGGCTTAAAGTTCTTCATAGCACTTAAATAGGACCAATTCTCAAAATCGCAATATGTGAAATTTTACAAAGTGGGTGCCTTATTATGCTAAGAAAAGTTGGGTTTCGAGGAATCTCTGGCTTCATAATTGTTGAGCTTACTTCGATTTCGAGTTAAAGTATTTGGTGAAGGTCGATCCCACTAGAAGGCGACAGCGGATTCGGCCTAAACAGCAGTCAATTTGCTTTACTGGAATATTCTTGTTGACACTGTTTCTGAGGCAATCTCCTTCGATTCCGGTGAAAACTTATCAAGCTTTCGTCCGTCGCATGACGTACATCATCAGAGCAAGAGCCATCCTTACAAACATATTCAAGCTATAGAGTCAAGGAACACTTTTATTAACTTTTATTGAATTTTTAACTTGACAGTGATTGTAAGGGTGATAATCTGCTCTGCTGATGTCTGTCTTGCGATGGACGAAAGCTTAGCACTTTTTCATTTGAATTGAAGGCGATTGTCTCAGAAACAGCGTCAACAAGAATGTTCCAATAAAGCCAATCAACATTTGGTCTGAAGGAATCCGCCATCATCTTCTGACAGATGCCTAATCAGACAGAGAATAGATGCTAAAATGAATATAATCATCCGTGTGCTGTTGGCACTTTGTATCGTAATATTGAATGGCTTGCTTTGTTTAGTTAAGCAACTAGTGAAATATTGAGGAGAGACGTACGAGTAAGTGAAATAGAGTTCTGGTTCATAACATGAACTCCAATACATTCCATAAATCCTTTCTTCATTACTGATCTTTACCCAGTACCTATGCTCATCAATTATTTAACTGGGCCCAAACTCGAATAATGAGAATTAAAAGATAAATGTAATTCATTCTTAGACACGTGACCCTAGTGTTTATTACTCGAGTGGCATATGTTACTCTCGGTGGGAAGTAAGACGTGTAAAGAAGTTGGCTAAATGTGCTTAGCTTCGAGCACACATTTCTCAAGTTCGAATCACACCGAGACTGTCTTTGCCTTCAAGGTAAGACTGAAACCTCACTTTATTCTTGCCAGAAAAATACCACCATAAAAATACAGAATAATCTTCACTAGGATATAATTAGACCACAAAAAGGTAAATGGAGTTATTTAATGCTTAAACGGATATTTTTAAGGACTACAATTAAGTTTGGGATGTGATCTAAAAACCATCGAATTTTCTTAGGTTCCTATCACCGGAATTCGGACTCCGAACGTTGACGTTGAAAGAAAACATTCCAACCCGACTGTACCCTCAAAACGATCATTAATTACATCGTCCCTAGGCTCTTAGCCAACCTTTGCTGATATAATTTGTATTAGTGCCATTCTCGACCAGGAAAACTTGAGAATTAAGTGTCGGTCTTGAGGCTTAAGATAATGAGATAATGAAGGAAAAAAATAAATAAAGCGAGAGCACGTCGACATGTCTCACTTACTCAGATTGACTGATGCCTGTTTGATATTCAGCTTAGACTAAAGGAAGAAAGAGATATTGTATCATTCTTTTACCGGAACTAGCCAACTGGGTAGACCTAGCATGCGACCGAAGCGATAAACTCAAAGATATTTATGCCTTGACTAAAAACATATGTTCCTCCTCATCATCCGCCCACCCTCTTTCCTCCTAACAGCTCGTCTGCCAAATCCGCAGTTGTGTGATCATCAGAGACAGTGGTGAAGTAGACCCGACAACCGGACTAATCAACTCTGCCCAGAAAGAGTGGGAGTGCGTAACACAGGATACGAAAGTCAAGAGAGCTAGGCGATAAGATAGTCCATTTTGCTCAAATTAGCCGCTGAAATATTTAGGATAAAATAATGAGTCTCTAGATTTCGTCAGCCAAATCTGACATGGACCTTGATTAACATTAGCTTAATGGGTAAAATCTTTTTATGGCTAAAACAGCTAAAAACATTTCGATAAATTTACTGATCCCACTTTTTGTGACAGCCAGGAGATAGCTGAATACTCTTATGCAAAAGTAGAGGCCAATGCAATCTTGTATTTAAATTCGAATTAGTCTTAAATAATTCCTCCTCCAATAAAATTTAACCATGATGGACTTTTATTTTGCATGAAAACGTGCGACGTATATATGACCATCTCATTGCGCAGTCCTCGAAGCACCCACTTTCAGCTCCGGTGAAAACAAGCTAAGTTTCCACCTACCATGCCACTCAACAGACACCATCCGAGCTGTTACTCATTTTCCAAGCTTACTAAGTATCAAAAGATCAACAAACTTAGAGTAATTATAAGAAAGATTTGCGACTCTGATGGTGGCTGTCAAGTGACAGACGAAAACTCAGTGGATTTTCATTGAGAATGAAAGATGATGTCTCGAGGACTGAGCTAGCATTAACGTCCAAGAAGAATCAAGCAATGGAAGATTGAGTAATCTGTCGTTGCCAGCTGATGAGATCTACCTACGAAGCTCTTTATTATAGACTTATTGCAAACTAAATGAAAGTCAGTGCAACAATGAAGTATCCGGCGATTCACTAAAAAACGGTCACCTTTTTAATAGCTTCTGTCACCTGGAAAACCAGAAAACAATGTCGGACAGTGTTCTACTAGGGCGATAGAACCGAGATACCGGCATCCGAAATTTCGCTAAATTTAGAAATCCCGGGACCATAACCACCCATGTGTATTTTGAGAAGATCAAGTTTCATGAATTAATAAAATTATTCCCATTGCAAGTGTAAAAAAGCGTAAATGTAATCCGCAACTATCAGTAATTGGTGCCCTGCAATATTTCTTATTGGCGACTAAAAGACTATGCGTCACTACGGCAAGTGCAGTGAAAACAACCAGCTGACCCATCGATGAATATCCACCATACATTAACGGGTTGTACAGGCCTGCTCAGTCTTGAAAGTTAGATGCAGATTGTGAAACATTTCAGGAAAATACTGGATAAATTTCGTCTCATTAGAGGTCTCAATAGGGCTAAAGGAAATAAAAGGCACAACCGGTTGTGAGAATTTGGCTGAATAAAAATAAAACATTCACTCTGTTTCAGATAGTTGATAGAGAGCTATATTTTTTCCGCGCCAGTCAAATGATGGATCGTCATAAAACCTCTTAACTCAAGATACTCCCTCGTACAGCATGACAGGGCTAAAAAGGGAGACCTCGATCCCGAAATAGTCAAGCGCAAAGGGCAAGTCTACAAGAGGATGCCGAGTTAAAAATGGTCCTGAAATGCAACATGATTGAGTATCAATCGAGTAAAATTTAGTGAAAATATGAGTTGTAAGTGATTCCAACCAACTATTTTAGTCCCATGGAAGGGTTAGAGAAAGCGATAAACCATTAAGAATGATTTAATTACATAACATTATTATGGTTTGCAGCTTATGGCAATATACAGTAAAAGGAAAGTGTGTGTAAATATATAGTATACAGCCTGAGGAAAAATAGTGACGGTTTTGTGTCTTAATATGGAGATATAAAAGAGTACTAAGAAAGATTTAAGACTAAAAAACAGAAGAAATTCAAAATCAACTAGGGTTAAGTAGTCCTAGGAAAGGAAAGGATTATAGAAGGACAAGAGGAAATAATAAACAATTCGTAAAATCGAAATTAAATTTGCATCAGATAAATTAGGAGAACTAAAAGTCGAGATGAGGCGGAAAATAATAAAATGAAATAAGAGAAGCAGGGAATCACATTCCCTATCAGGACTGGTGTTAAGAAAAAGGAGGAAAGTTAAGTTAAAAAGTGGTGTAAAGATGATTCATGACAAGGAAAATAATGGAAAGGAAAATAAAGCACAAATTAATGACGAGACAAAAACTGCTAAGGAGAGACCAAAACAAGACAGGAAGGAAAGCCCCTTTGAAAGAGAAGACCCGTCAGCCGCCAATACACAACTTCCATCATCAAGTTCCAAGTAATGGAAAGAAGACATTTGGTCGCGCTCGGATGAAGTCTTTTAGTCTCGCTCTGAGTAAGCCTGCCGATAACAAATAAGCCAAGAGCTCTTGAGATCCACCGGATAAAGGATAGTGAACTCACTAACCGGTAAACTCTCGTCGTGCATCAGCAACTTAGTTGTGCCAAGTCAAAAGAGAAAAAGAGAGCGCCAAAAACAAGAACATCTTCCGAAAAACAAGAGGCATGAACTAGGATAAATAGAAGAGTAAGAAATAAGGAGCGAGTTTTATAATGCCTTTTAAAAAGGACGTAAGAAGAAAGAAAGCAAGGTCGATATGGTATTGTGGTAGCTTTGAGGTGGTTGAGTCTGAGTGCATCCCTAAACAATTATTTTCAAGAAGATCTCAAGGTTTGAGTAAGGAGTCGAATCAAAACAATCTCTACAATGTATGGATGCAGATTTCGCACTGGACGTTGTGCTGATTCACCTTTTTGTTGTTGCTGTAATCGAGCTTGGGCATCAGCTTGAAAAGAATCGAGCAACTTTAGAACAAGCTGTTTGATTGAACGTTTTTGCTTCTTAGAGAGTTTTGTTTGAACCTTGCCGATTTCCGACTGGACACTCCCTAGCGTGGTCGCTGCGTTGGCAATGCCGACAATAGAAGAGCTTTTCTCAGTCTTGGCAGCCAGCTTCAACAGCACTGAGTGTACCTGGAAGTGGAATTTTAATGGAAATTATAAATAAAAAAAGTCAAGCAAGGGCTTTCTATTGGGAATGTGCTCAAGAAACGAATATCCCCAAAGTTTGCTGATTTGATTTAATCAATTTTAAGCTATCATTGCCGATACTTATAGCATAACCATGCGAAGGCCTGGCATGTAGCTGAGCCATAATATTATGTCCTGAGCGCAATGCTGCCTGAGCCTGGGAATTGAGCTACCGGTAATGAATTAGAAGTGTATTGAATATCAAAGTAAGGTCTTTGCTGGAAGTGGTCTGACCTCATTTTCGCAACTTCGTCGTGTTGTCACGGTTACTTAATTGGAAGCACCAAATCCGAAGTCCTCTGCTATAGTAGTTATTATAATTCACAGAGTTGGACCGTGGATTTAGTACATTCCCAGACGCTTCGCAGGCATCCGTCGGCATATCAAATGAGTCCTGTCATTCTCAGCAGTAAGTTACAGCGCCTCAGAGACAAGTGAATTCAATCCCTCGACCAACTTTCTGCAGCATTAATATGAGATGTATTCACCGTATTTCATTTAAGGTGATGAAGGACTGGTAATAGAATTTCCCACAATGATATGGTTAGGGCTGACGTTTCCATTGGATTTCACATTGCCTTATTTCCCCAAAGGAAGGCCTGGCCTACCATGAAATTCACATCTGCCCCGTGACGCAAAGGCACTCGGGGCAATGTGACCGACTGGTTAACGGGTCAAACTCACATTCTGCACAGTCACGGTTCGATTCCCGCTGAGGGTGTTGATAAGACCTATTCGAGGTCGAAACTGTAGTCCACCCTGAATGAGAACAACCTTTGGAAAAGCAAGGCTATGCGAAATTGAATAAAAACGTCAGCCCCACCCATATCATTGTGGGAAAATTCTACTACCAGTCCTTCATCAGCTTAAACGAAATACGGTGAATACATCTCATATTACTTTCTGCAGCATTGTTGTGCCATCACTCCCCCTGTCCTGGTTCATCTACTCATTCCCTATCTTCGCACTCCTTCCCTCTTATAAACAAGTCAGATGTTGTGATAGGGCGGGAGCGAGATAAGAGGGTAGGAAGTAGGTGGATGTGCAAGGATAGAAAGAATAGTGATGGCACAACTGTCCAACAGAAAGTAAGTTAAAGTATAGACTTTATTAGGCTCTTTGACGAGTTGTAGCTTAGTGCCGAGAATGGTAAGACTCACTGACGATGTCGGCGAAGCGTCTGGGAATATACAAAGTCGACGGTCCAACACTGGGAATTATGATCACTACTATATAACAGGACTTCGGACAAGGCGTATAACTAGGTCCCTCTGGCAGACCAACCAAGTTGCGAAAATGAGGCCAGACTATTTTTATATATCTCAAGGATACTGCGACAAAAATAGAGGCCATAGCATCTTGGTCTTCATATCTAATTTGTTTATTGGATAATAGGGATAATTTATCGTCAGCGCCGGCAGCTCTAAAGACAGGTCTAGTTGCGAGAGAAGACTAGGCTTTGAAAGGTATGTTGGCAATAAATCCATATCGTTTGGCGGGCACCTTGATCATCTGAAAACAAGCTCAACTCGAGTTATAATCCCAATGGTGTGCTTACAAGAGCCAGACGAGGTCCAGCTACATGATGCTTAGTGCAATATGTTTGAAAAGTAGAACAAGAGTACAATGAAACCTAGGTGAGATTAAGCCAGCAATCTAATGTGAGAACGAAAGTGATTTTAAAAAACAAGATTGAGTCAAGGTCGCCTATCAAATCTTTCCTTATCAATTCAACAAGGTTCGCTTAACTGCTAATTTCATACATGCCCAAACCACAAGTTACTTGTTTAAACTAATAAGTAAACCTTAAATAAAAGCTGTAGTAAACGTCGCACAAGATTAGGCGGTCTTATAGAGCCATTGCGTTTCTGTTATCCTTGCCTTACAAAATGTTTTCTCATTCCGATTGGACTGCATTATTGGCCTCGCTTAGGCTTCCTCGAAAGCTTAATGGGATTGGGAACCTGGTCATAAGGTGTGGTGATAACGTGTTGAGACTTTAAGTATGCATATTATCTGGGTTCGATTCCCGTGTGTGGCTGATATAAAGCAGACAAGACCGAAATTGCAATTCACTATGAATGAGGATACCTTTAGGAATTGACGCATATATATAGTCACACACACACACGCACACACACACATATATATATACCCCA